AATTTCTAACGATAAAATGTGCGGCATTTGATTGTTTAATCCATAGACTTTTTTTGAACTCAAGAATTAACTTGGAAAGAAAATTTTTGTGATTTGATATGTACATGACAAAAAAAAACTTTAATGTTGAACAAGACTTCAATGATTCGCATGAACGGAAATGAAAAGTTTTGCTGATTTATGTGAAACTTTTCCTACTACTTCCATGCTTTACTTCCATGCTAAATCCATAAACTTTACTGAGTCACTGTCAACAGCATATTTTTTTCCTTAGCTGTTCTCTAATGTTCCATGTCGTTCTCACTCACACCAAACACTTCGATCTTTTCGTCAGCAAATTTAGTTCAAAATATGACTATTTTCAATACACAATTGGCAATTTTTTTTTATTACCACAGCAATCGCACAAAGCAAATTTGGTGATAGTGCTTGTTTTAAGGAGGGCGCAGAGAAGCTGCAATAAAAAGTGTTCAAACCCACTGACAATTGCAGTTATCCAATATTTTTCTATCGCTAAAGAAATGTGTTCAGCGAGATCATACTTCACAGAATCATTTCTGTAGTATGTATTTCATAGCCTCCTTCGTGTTGGCTCGACGACAACACCGCGATGACGAGGCGTGGCGTCGTCCCATGAGCGGGAAGCGGTCTGAAGAAGATGTTAGGTCTTCTCCAGACTTGAAGACCGTTGGGTCTGCGGGGTTCCTGCGGATCCAGTGGGCTTGACGCTTGCTGAGCGGTTGTTTGATATGGTAAAGTGCGTTCTAGTTTTCCAAATATTACAGTTGGTTGTTGTTTTGAAGCGGTTAGTTCTTGGGGAGAGTTTTGCTGAGTGTACGATGGGAGCTCAGGTTCCTTTACTGCGCTGTGTATTTGTGGATATGGTGCGTAAAGCAGGATGCTGAAATAATGATTCTGAGGGTGTAGCACTCGCAAATTAAGTGGGAACCTGAAGTGTAATGGAGGAATGGAAATAAGATGATACAGACACTCAGTGATTTAAAAAAAAATG